ATTAAGTAACATGCATCGTGAAAATATCAAGTGCCTAAAGAGTCTGCAGAAGACTGCCACGTAGACCTTCTCTCCTTCTCTCCCATGACAATATGAAAAGTGTATTCATATAATACATTCATACCAATACATTCATATAATATGTACAACATGTACATGTACAACTTTTCATATGTTTCCTTATGTTTTATCTCACAGGGAATGACTGCTCATATTTTTTTTTTTCAATTTCACCACTTTGAATCAGTCCTTGGGCATAACTGTGCTGCTCTACAGTGAGAGGAATGTCAGCTTGTTAAGCTCTGTTTCTCTTTGAGAGGAGTTTTATAATAGGCATTTAGGTTCAGTTTGTAATAGGCCCTAAATCAGGTAAGGCTGGAAATAAAAATGCCAGTTACATTTGTCTGCTACTCAAATCCCTCACTGAAAGCAAAACTGATCAACTGAAAGCTCAAAAGCTGGACAATAAAGTAGGAATACTTACTAGAATAGCGGACATCACTCCCCGTCCCTTTATTATCTTCTCCAGGACTGCTTCCACGACTGCCAGAAGCTAGATGTGCAAAAGAAATATTGCCTTTCATGTACTGCCAGAAGTCCCAAACAACTCACCCTGAAAAATTACCCTCCCAAAAGAACTTTTGTGTCCCCAGTTCTGGAGCCACTTGGTGCTTCACATTTCTATTTCTTCTCAATAACTCTCTTCTCGGATAACTTGGCAAGTGGGGTAGAAAAGTTTACCCAGCATGGCCTGGAAGAAACACACACTTCACATAGTTGCAGTCCTTTATAGGATCATCTGCTGGTCCACTTACAGGTTATGAGCTACAAGCTTTTTCACTTTTATGAGCTTATGGTACTGTTCAATATTAGAAGAGAACTCTTGACAAGGAAGAAACAAGAAAGAGTGAAAATTAAACTTGTCTCCAAAAGAAGAAAGACCAAAATATTTCAGTCACTGCTAATTAAAAAATAAAAAAATAAATTAAAAAAAATGCTAATAGTAGATGAAGAAGTCTAAAGAGGTGCAATATTAATAGATGGCAAGTTTCTTGAGAGTTATTATAGACGGATGTGCATGCTCTCTCTGCCACATCTGGACAGAGCAATGACTGCTGTGAGCCTCTGGGACATTTTTTAGGTCTGAGTTTAAAGGAATGCATTTCTACCTTCAGGTGCTAATCTGAATTTGAGTCAGGTATCAATAACCCAAAATATTTATTACTTACATAAAGTCTATGAGAAAACAATCACTGAACTTCCAGAGAGAAAATAGAAAATGCAAACATTTGTGTTTCCGTAGTTACTTATACAGCACATGGGATTGTATTCCATATTGGACAGAGGCTTGAGTAGATGTGCTCCCTGCCACTGAAGAATACAATCAGCTGAACATTTCCATTGCCTGTTTAAATATCAGAAACGGTTCTCAAACAAAGGCATCTGGGGAAGGTGGTCTGTTAAGAAGTGGTCCTAGCAGAGACTTTAGCTCCATACATAAGCAGTGAGAACATTATATCAGCCACTGAGGTTTTGTTGGAGGCTCTGATCCACTGCTCAGGTACCTACTCACAGTCTGCACCTGTAGGGATGCACGGTTCCTCTCCCAAAGAACAGAAGAGGGCTCGAATTGTTGGGTGGGAGCTATGAAATTAACTGAGTCATTAAAACCAATTTCCCACAGCCATTTTGAGGTCTAGAATACAATTTTGTTTTACTTTCTTTGAAAGACATGTCCCTGTTTTCACAGAAGCTTTTGTACAGGCAGTAATTGTAACTCTAGTCTGCAGAATTACAATAACAAACAAGGTTTGTTTGTCCCAGCCATGTAGGACTCTCTTTTCCTTGCTGCACTGATTTTAAACTCAGGCCCACTATTAAAAAATGTTTTTTGTGGATCCCCTCCTCCCCATTCTCTCCCCTTCATTTGTCTGCCCATAGACAGAAACCACCATCACTTACTAATTGTTTGTGCAGTGCCTAAATAATACAGCCATAGTTGAGACCTTTTGATGCTATAGTGTAGGAAACAATCACTGTCCAAGACCTTTATCTCTGTTTCTTTAAAGCAGAAGTTCTCTTTCCCATGGTGCCTGTCTGCTGAGGGGTGATAATGTAAGGATGGAAACTGAGCCACCATCAAGTGACTAAAATAATTCCTATGAATTCTTAATTCCACGTGACTGTTTTAGATTTCCCGTGGAAATCCTACTGCCCTTTTTGCTATCTCATCTGGTATACTACATGATATACAGGGCAAGCAGGCAATTATCACAGCAATGAGTTACCCTGGATACTGACTGAAAATGTCAACAGAAACAAATTACACTGAAAAACATGAATGTGTATCCCTGCATTTGTGCAGGAGATTTGTGCATCTCCTCAGGAGAACAGCTGAGGTTTGAAATCCACTGGCTATTTTCCTGGTTATCTGTCAATTGACCAAGGTGCGAGCAACGCAGGAAGGAAAAATCCATAGCTTGGCATTTTAACTACTTGCGACCATCAATAAGTAATACAACAGCTAAAAAGAAACATTACTGAATGAAATAGATTAATGAACTAAAACCTTTAGCTCATTTCTCCACGTCTTTCATTAGATTCTCACAAGCTAGCCCATCCTGTCTACTTTCCCTGATCTGGAAGGTATTTTCCAGTTATGGAATGATCTGGGATCAGAATAACAAGTAATTGGAGAAGTACATCCATCATCGTAACAGGAGGGACAAGATATTGCTGGCAGCAGCAGCAGCAGCAAGAACTGCAGGGACCAGTACAGAAGAGACTGTTTCCTGATAAGCATGGAGAAAGGAAAATAAGACAATACAGGTTCATTAGCACAGGAAATTTGCCTTACTCTGAGACTAGCCACTTCTAACTACAGGACAAGGAACAAGAGCCACTGACAAGAACAAGCCCCTTGGTAAACACTCTATTTATATCAGTTTCCCCTTGCATCACACAATACACCAGCTCTGATTTTTTTTTTTTTGTGCTCCCACCCTGTTTTCTTTCCAGTATCTGCTAATCCAACACAGCATATTGCTGAAATGGCAGCAAAGTTACTCAATGCTACAGGTTGAAGACCAATCTTCTGCTTCTCTGTACTATGCTTCAGGTTCATTTTCCCCCTAGAGCCTACTTGTTCCCTGAACATTTCTGTTCCTCAGGCTGTTTCTCTCCCACTCCACACCAGCATTTTCATCAGTGTGCATGGAGCAAACTCTTCTTTCACTCTTACTTGTTGATTCTGTTGGAGAGCTCCCGGGAAGGCCTGCAATAAAACAGAAGGAATAGGTTGTTAGTAGCTGTTTTAGATGTCCCAAGTCTTCACATCATGCAAACTAGCAGACTCTAGCAACATGCTCAGTAACCCCACAACAAATGCTGCCCCAGAATGGACATTCTAACACTGTTCCTAAGCCCAGAAATTCAGAGCTGTTAGAATCTGCAAACATCTCTCATAGATGGGAGAAGAATCAAAAGCCCAGCCTATGCTAGGTTGTTTTTCTGTTCAAGAGAAGAAAATCCTGAATTAATTGATACATTCCTAAAAAAAACTCCTCCTGCCAAAGCCAAGTAAGTGCCTGTGAGTGAATAGCTGGCATTTAACTGACAAAAGAGTATTTTAATAAAAGAAATTCAAATGCCTAATTGAGACACGTCTTCAAGTGTCACAAAACCCTTTAAAAACAAATTTTCATTTATTATCTTGGTGCTTTTGTCTAGCAGACTGCCGAGCAGCAGGAGTAAGAGGCATTGGTAATGAGGAAGAAATTGACCTTGCAGAGCACCGGGCACAATGCTCACTGGCC